TCTGTAGATCACACTGTGTAGTACTGACATTTTAACAATATTGCCTTCCAATCCATGAATAGAGGATGTATTTCCATTTGTTTATGTTTTTAATTTATTTCAGCAATGTTTTGCACTTCTCATTGTCTAAGACTTTCACTTCTTTGGTTAATCCCTGAGTATTTTATTATTTTTTATGCTATCGCCAATAGAATAGTTTTGTAATTTCCTTTTTAGGTTGTTCATTGTTAGGGTATAGAAATGAAACTGAACCGGGCGTGGTGGCTCACACCTGTAATCCCAGCACTTTGAGAGGTTGAGGCGCGTGGATCACGAGGTCAAGAGATCAAGACCATCCTGGCCAACATGGTGAAACCCCATCTCTACTAAAAATACAAAAATTAGCTGGGCGTGGTGGCACGCCTGTAGTCCCACTTACTTGGGAGGCTGAGGCAGGAGAATCCCTTGAGCCCAGGAGGCTGAGGTTGCAGTGAGCCGAGATCATGCCACTGTACTCTATAGCCTGGCAACAGAGTGAGACTCTGTCTCAAAAAAATAGTAATAATAGAAATGAAACTGAATTTTGTGTGTTAACTTTGCAGACTGCTACTTTGCTGAATTCAATTATCAGTTGTGACAGTTTTTTGTGGAATCTTTAGGATTTTCAACACATAAAATTATATCATCTGCAAACAGAGATAATGTTACTTCTTCCATTCCAATTTGGATACATTTTATTTCTTAAACTTCCTTGATTGCTCTGGCTAGAAATTCTAGTACTAAGTTAAGTAAAAGTGGTGAAAGGAGACAACCTCACCTTGTTCCTGATCTTAGAGGAAAAGCTTTCAATCTTTCATTAAGTATGATGTTAGTTGTGGGCTTTTCATACATGGCTTTTATTATGCTAATAGTTTCCTTCTATTCCTACTTTGTTGAGTGTTTTTAATATGAACAACTCCATAGAAATGTACTTTTTTACCTTAAGAAAAATGAACCAATAACCCAGAACTTTTAATTCAGTAGCAAAATGAATAAAAACAGGCTGGGCACAGCGGCTCATGCCTATAATCCCAGCACACTGGGAGGCTGAGTGGGAGATTGCCTGTGTCCAGGAGTTCAGGACCAGCCTGGGCAACATGGTGAGTGACACCCACTCTCTACCAAACATTTAAAAATTAGTCAGGCATGGTGGCACGTGCCTGTAGTCCCAGCTACTTGAGAGGCTGAGGTGGGAGGATATCTTGAGCCCAGAAGGCTGAGGCTGCAGTGAGCTGTGACCATGCCACTGTACTCTAGCCTAGGTGACAGAGCAAGACCTTGTCTCAAAAAAAGAAAAAACAAAACAAAAAACAGAAAGACATGAGTCTTCCCACAATGAAAAATCTTACTTTGATTGCAATCAAGTGCTGTTGAATATTATATAAAGCAGCCCTGATTGTAATATATAAAAAGTTATGCCTGGCTCCTTAACTTGCTTTTCAAGGTTCCAAAATTTTGTCTTTCTAAACTTTTCATGTACTTCCTTACAGATCTTAAAATTTTACATAGACACACATATATTATGCATGACATGATCCTATTTCATTTTAAGTCTTACAAAATTTAATACTTAGCTAACAAGGTGTAAACTAGAAAACTATGACAATGACCAAAAAGCAAATGACCTGATAGCTTAAGCTTTATGTCATCCACACAAAATATCCTACTAAGTTTGCAATTCATCAGAAACAATTCATTCAACTCATTAAAATGTAAGATAAATACAATCTAAGACACTTCCTTACCTTTACTTACAAATATTTATGTTCTCTATCTACATAGTAGTAGAAGAAACACTATAATCAGAGAATTATTTGGGTCTCTACTTCAATCTGATAATCTCAGGAGGCAGGACAAAATAAAATTTGTAAGGCAAGTAGCATACACTAAGTACTAGAAAAATTGGTTCACACAATTAAGTTCAAAGGAAGGTATACTCAATGTGAGTTAAGGTGGTAAGAAAAGTTCTGAAAAGGTCTTTGGTAATGGTTTCAGTGGCAAGACAGGTGTCAAACAAGTAAGTGGAGAAGGAAGACTGCCTTCAAGAAGCTCTTCCAGTGGCTAGCTCATTGATCTTTAAATCTCTGTTAAAAGGACACCCACTACCCAAAAAGGCCTTCTCTGACCTCCAGTTCTAAGTGGGAGAAGTGCTTCAAGTATATTAATAGATTATGACCATCTATAATTACCTTACTGGATGATTTGTTTACTTATATTTGTCTTCACATTTGGAAGCTGGCTCCTTGGGAGTAGGAACTAGGTCTGTTTTGTTCACTGCTACACCTCAGCCCCTAACTATCCAGGCCCTGGCAGATAGTCAATAGATATCTGTTAAGTAACTGAAAGCCAGCAATTACAGTAGAGAACAGAGCAGGATCTAATTGGAAAGGATTAGGAAAAAGGGAAAAGCAGCCAGGTGCTGTGGCTCATGCCTGTAATCGTAGCACTTTAGGAGGCCAAGGCGGGCAGATCACTTGAGGTCAGGAGTTCAAGACCAGCCTGGCCAACATGGTGAAACCCCATCTCTACTAAAAATACAAAAATTAGCTGGGTGTGGCGGCGCACACCTGTAATCCCAGCTACGAGGGAGGCTGAGTCACAAGAATCACTTGAACCCAGGAGGCAGAGGTTGCAGTGAGCTGAAGTCACGCCACTGCACTCCAGTCTGGGCGAAAGAGCAAGACTCCATCCGAAAAAAAAAGGGTCGGGGGAAGAGAAAAGAGGAACACAGACCAAACCAGTCTTTCTATAAGTTTAACAGTGAAGATAAATAAAACCAGAGTTCAAAGGAAAAGTAGGGCCAAGGAAGATGTTCACGTTGACCCTCAGGTTGAAGGAAAAAATGAGTTGGTATTTGAGCTGGTCCATGAAAAAGAGAATTACTATGTGGATACATGAAAAAGACAAAGAAGAAGCTTTTCAGAAGAGAAAAAACAGTTGAACTAAAGCCGAAGGATCAGAAGTAAGCATGGCAAGTGTCTGGGGGCAATGTGGCCTGGCTGAAACAAAAGGTGTGCTCTAGGGTCCAGAAAGAAAGCAAGCCAGGTAAGGAGGGATAATATAAGACTGCAGAGGGCCTTGAAGGAGGGATAATGTAAGACTGCAGAGGGCCTTGAACAAAAATTTGGCTTAAGTTCCATATCCAATATGTTCTGATATTTTTGCTACCATTTCAGAGGAAAAAAATGTATGCAGTAACAAGGAGGTTATTCAAAGGAGTATGAGGCAAGATTCGCTGTAATTTTAGTATAAAATTTGGTAGGACACTTCTATCATGATAAACTTTACTCCTTTCCTTCTCCTAACAGTATATGCAATGTAATGTGAAAACCTTCTAGTTGACAATAATGAATCTTGACATCTGGCTTTTTCTAACATACAAGCAATAGGAGCTGTAGGATGACTACACACATCGCTCTTGATCATGCATGACATGCAAGTCTGATGTAAACAATATCTATTCTTCATGGCTCATTTGAAAGGAAAAGCAACAGAAGAAACAAATATTATAAAAGGGAAAACCACTATGCAGTCGTTTAACAGAGAACTGGAGAGTAAAAGACCTTTTATACTCTATCTACCCTTTAGCAAAAGACAAACACTTGCATAGAAAATTAGCACAGGCCGGTGCAGTGGCTCACGCCTGTAATCCCAGCACCCTGGGAGGCTGAGGCAGGAGGATTACTTGAGCCCAGTTTAGAGACCAGCCTAGGCAACACAAGGAGACCTTATTTCTACAAAAAAAAAAAAGTATGTGTGTGTGTATGTGTATGTGTGTGTATAGTTATATATACATATATAATACATACATGTATGTATATACACCTATGTGCATATATACATATATTACATGCATATATACATATATGTACACATATAAAATGCATACATATATGTACATATATAAAATGCATACATGTATGTAAATATATAAAACATGTGTGTACATATGTGCACATATATAAAACATATATGTGCATGTGTATTTTTTTTTTAACTAGCCAGGCATGCTGTGGCATGCACCTGTGGTCCTGGCTACTCAGGGGGCTGAGGTGGAAGGATCACTTGAGCCCCGCAGGTTGAGGCTACAGTGAGCCGTGATCATGCCACTGCACTACAGCCCTGGTGACACAACGTGACTGTGTCTCAAAAAAAAAAAAAGAATGGCCGGGCGCGGTGGCTCAAGCCTGCAATCCCAGCACTTTGGGAGGCCGAGACGGGTGGATCACGAGGTCAGGAGATCGAGACCATCCTGGCTAATATGGTGAAACTCCGTCTCTACTAAAAAAATACCAAAAACACTAGCCGGGCGTGGTGGTGGGCGCCTATAGTCCCAGCTACTCGGGAGGCTGAGGCAGGAGAATGGCGTAAACCCAGGAGGCGGAGCTTGCAGTGAGCTGAGATCCGGCCACTGTACTCCAGCCTGGGCGACAGAGTGAGACTCTGTCTCAAAAAAAAAAAAAAAGAAAAGAAAAGAAAAAAGAAATGGCACAATAACGACTGTTACAAACCAATATGCACCTAAACAGTAAATATAAGTTTTTCATCCTCAGCTCCAAAAAAAAACACTAAAATGATTTTTCTATGATGAATTACAAGATTTTGTTTTGAACTTTGTATGTTCTTATGCCTCTATTTTTCCCTGACAACCAATTACTGCCTTATTACCATGTTTTCAGAGATTATAAAGTATATTTTAAAGTTATCTAGCTAAGCGTTTATTATGTTCCCTAGCATTTCAACTTGCTTAAATATACAAATTTAACTATTTTGCGAGAAAAAACAAAATGAATACAGAATGTAACCTTTGCTAAATATTTCACAATTATGATTCACATCAACATTCTTTACCTATTTCGCTCAATTACAATGAGCTTTCTCAGAATGCATGTTTTGCAAACAGTCAAGTCTGATCTATTTTTCCTGTTTTCACTAGAGGGGACAATGACCCGGCTTCCAAATGGCCTGAAAGTTAAGCTGAAGAATAAAAGCAACATGGTTATTTTTAGAGCTCTACAGGCATAAAAATATAGCACTAAACTGTGACCTACAGCTGTGCACAGCAAAGCATCACATCATGCGACAGTCTTCACTGTAGCTCGGAGCGCATCTGTGGTGCTTTAGACGACCATTCTTCATTTCATTACCAAAGATATGTCGGAATGCATTTAGGACCAGCATCCATAGCTGCTGGCATTTTTTTCAAGTAGAATGAGCTACATTCAAAAGGCAGACCATTATATAACTTGTGAAGATTAAATAGTTAAGTTATTTTTGTCATTTCTTCTAGCTTACTTACAAGGTGAATTAATAAGCATTCTCTCCAAATGAAGACATCACGGCCTCATTCCTAACGTAGAAAGTTATTTATTTCAAATACGATTTTGGTGGGTAAATAAGGCAGTGCATTCCTTCAACAGAGGACACTTTCAGGAGAGCAAGATATGTCCGAGTGAAACACAGCTCCGTCACCAATTTCAGGCAACTCTTTGGCAACATCACATCAGCCCATCAACCTAACAGGTAAGCTTTAAACCTTTTCTGTACAAAACATAAATCAAAAGTATTTACAGGCAGCACTTGCCTCGACATTAACATTTTAAGTCTCCTAAAAACTTTTCACAGCAAGTGTTAGTGTTATTTTCAGGTATCATTCAGCCTATGTATTACCTCTGACTTTGTATATCTAATTTCTGCTAAGCTACATAAAAGCATTTTCAAAGCTGGGTTTCTGCCACTGACCTAGTTAAAAATTAAGACGTTAATCCATGTTCTAATCTTATTTTGACCTGCATAGCTAACCTGTGAAAAAAAAATCATGCACTTTTTGGGCAAATTTATTGTAAAGAAACAAATATTTGCTCAGAAGAACCATAACGTTTTGAGCAAATAAACACGGGAAAATATTTCCATAGGCTAAAAATGCCACTTTTTGGCTGGATGAAATGGCCCAGAAACGATTCCTACAAATCCAGACACTATCCTGGCTCAGATGTAGTGACAAAGACTCTGCTTCGGGAATTAAAATGGCACCTAAAGGAGCGAGAGAGATTAATACAAGAAATCGAAAATGAACAAAAAGTGAAAAAAACAGGTGTGGATTACAACTGGCTCAGAAACTACCAGAATCCCCACACAACTATCCCAGTGACTGAACAAAGACAACTTGAAGTTCTTTGCTCACAAGTTCAACCCTGCCAAACTGGAACTATTCTCAGCAGGTAAAAACACTATGTTCTCTTATGATACTCGCTACTGCTAAGTCTAAGTTCCTCATACATTTTGACTAGAAATTGTATTCTATCATGTAAATTCTTTAACTGTGTAGATATCTGGTGAGAAATGGTTTTAAATTACATCTAAAATTTCTTTACTAGAAGCATAATTTTAAAACAACATGCATTAATACTCAAAAGGTGGGTAACTTGTATACAAGCACATTATTCTAGCTGTATTTTGGAGATAAGGAGATATAACAAAAAATGTTCTAAACAGAATATTCATTACCACATTCCCTCCAGATTTCGAGAAGTTTTGGCAGAAAATGATGTACTGCCATGGGAAATAGTCTACATCTTCAAGCAAGTTCTGAAAGACTTCCTAAGCAGCTCTGACAGAGGGAGTGAGCAAGAGGACCTGGAGGACTCAGGGAGCATGGACTGCCCTGCTCCTTCTGTGATCCCAGGTGACAGCTCCAAGAGGGCAGGCAAAGATGAAATACCCACCATTTCCAGTTACGTAGATAAAAACACAAAGGACAGGTTTCCAGGGTTCTCACACAGAATATGGAACCTACCATATTATCACCCATCTAGTTAAGTTACTTATAACTAGAGGAGTTTTTATGACCACCTTAGAACTCTTAATATTAAGAATAAGAAAAAGTGACGTGACTTACAGTTTTTCTTTGTTACAAGGTCAGTATCCTGTGGATGTATCCTATGTTTTAAATAGTATCTTTTTTTTAACTACTCTAAACATGCTATGTTTTCATTGAATAGTATGCTTTTAACTAAAATGTTTCCTAAGTATTTTGAAAAAATGTTTGAAGTATTTTCTTATACCTCAAACCCACCTCACAGGAACTAAATCAACTTTAGTATGAAGTTTGACAAATTCTGTACAAAACTTAGATATTAAGACTTTTATTCTACAATAAAGCTATATATAGAATTAAATAAAAGATTAATGTGAATCCTATCTTTACAATATAACAGAAATGAGAAGTCAACATCCCATTATGTGATCATTCTCAGCAGGGGATGGGGAGAAGGGCGGTGAGGGAAAAAATAACATGTAGTTTAAAAATGAAGCAGGGCTTTAACCCAACACTCAGCTTTGGTTTTAATCACAGTACTTTTAAGCTCAACATTAAGGGAACATGTAATAAAACTCAGCTCTATATTATATCAGTAAAGATAAATAGGCTGATTTAGCAACATGAGTAGCTGCTACTCTCAAAGAAAAACATTCACTGTTGGTGAATAATTTAAACTTATCCTCAGGTGAAATAGCAAAATATTTAATATATAAAATCTGGCTTTTCAAAACTTTATTAAAAGTAGGAAACTATATATTAGTCAGATTTTTTTTATAAAGTGCTAGAATTCATTCTTAAAGGTAAGTCCAAGGAACCTAATTATAACTTTATATTCGAAGATTTACCAGTTTTCTTTCATCTAAAAATAAAAAAAGTATGTATCAAAATTGGAACAAGTTGGGTGTGGTCACACACCTGTAGCATGGCTACTCAGGAGGTTGAGACAGGAAGCTCACCGGAGCCCAGGAATTCAAGGCTGCAGTGAGCTATGATCACACCACTGCACCCCAACCTGGGCAACAGAGAAATACCTTGTCTCAAAAAAACAAAACAAAAAAAACAAAAAAAAAAAAAACTTTTTTTCAAAAAGACTAGAACTAAATATACACTACTAAAAATATATATATATATCTTCTAACTTTATTCTCCCTGCATTCTTAGCCAACTTATGTACCATTTTCAACTGACCTCAATTTGGTCTTAAATCCCAACCATGTAATGCAACCCACCTGATTAGAGTTTAACAAGACAACATAAACAGAAACACAGTCCCAAGTAGATTTAAAATAAAGACACCTCTCATTCCTGCTCTGAAATTTTCAGTTTTCCTACATACTACCTTTGGCTTCTTTAGTCACTGTAAGATTTCCTAGAGTGGAAACTATATGTGGGAGAGATAAATGCCCCGAAAAGTACACAACTACTTATTGTGCAGTGAATATAGTAAGCAGCAAACATGAGTTTTAAGAAAATATCATTGCTTAAATCATGGTGAGAACAAAATTTTCATTTAAAGAAACATGGAGAACGTGAAGTTTGTATATGAAGCACAGTACTAGAATTGATCATCCCACCACACATACCAGGAAATACATGCCATGAAGAGATGCAAATCATTTCCTTCACTCTCCAAGGCTCCTCAAGCAGCCACTGGACAACACCATACCACTTGCTAGAGAGAGTCATCCTCTGTATTCAGACAGGGAGAAATAACTCCCGGCAAAAAGCTTCTGGTGACTGAAGCAGCTATGGACAGTGACATCACTCTGCTAGTTCAGGATGAAAATGAGTCCCAGACACTCTAAGTCACCCACATGCAATTTAATTAATTTTCCACCCAAGCTTGAAAAAAGAAAGGAAAAATACATTAAGTTTTGAGTTTCCATCTCTCACTTTGTTGTTGGCAAACCTAGCACTCACGTCCTGTGAGAGTATTGGTATACGTAATTTAAAACTGTAGTTATTTCTGGAAAACCTATAAATCAAATAGAAATTTTAATACAAATAACTTCCTGAATAGTGACAGATCCATGTTTTTATACACTAGCCTATTTATAATACCTAAAGCTGGCAAAGGAATCAGGATCGAAAATATAATGGGGGGACCGGGCGTGGTGGCTCACGCCTGTAATCCTAGCACTTTAAGAGGTGGAGGCAGGTGGATCACGAGGTCAGGAGATCAAGACCATCCTGACTAACATGGTGAAACCCCATCTCCACTAAAAATACAAAAAATTAGCCGGGCGTGGTGGCAGCATCTGTAGTCCCAGCTGCCCGGGAGGCTGAGGCAGGAGAATGCCGTGAACCCAGGAGGCGGTGCTTGCAGTGAGCCGAGATAGTGCCACCGCCCTGGGCGACAGAGAGAGACTCCGTCTCAAACAAAAAAAAAAGAAAGAAAGAAAATATAAAGAGGGCACAGGTGGGAAGGGGACGACTGGGAATACTTCAGGTGTGTTTTATGAAGAGAAAGCAGCATTCGTTCAGGAGCTACAATCTTTAGCTAGGGAACAGAAAGAATAAATGAATCCACATAAAAGCATTCTGCATAATCCCCAACATATAATACGCTCTCGAGGTAGCATTACTAGCCAGCCCAATCCATTTAATAATATTAAAATAATTATTTTACACAGCCGGCACATACTAAGCACTATGAGTGCATTCGCATTTCATGGTAACCTTATAAAGTAGGTGATATTATTACCATATGACAGATGAGCAAACTGCCTCAAATATGTCCAATGGCTTGCCCAGTATAGCAATAACTGGCAGAGCTGAGATTCACATCCAGGTTGCCGTGTCCCTCCCCCAACTGATCTCTGAGCTCCAAATGCACAGAACCAAGTGCCTATGTGACACTTCCTCTTGGATACTCACGGGCAACTTAAAATCAACATGTTCATCCTTCAGTATACTCCATTCAAAAAAGAAAATTAAAAAAAAAGAAAATAGGCCGGGCACGGTGGCTCAAGCCTGTAATCCCAGCACTTTGGGAAGCCGAGATGGGCGGATCACAAGGTCAGGAGATCGAGACCATCCTGGCTAACACGGTGAAACCCCGTCTCTACTAAAAAATACAAAAAAGCTAGCCGGGCGAGCTGGTGGGCGCCTGTAGTCCCAGCTACTCGGGAGGCTGAGGCAGGAGAATGGCGTGAACCCGGGAGGCGGAGCTTGCAGTGAGCTGAGATCCGGCCACTGCACTCCAGCCTGGGCAACAGAGTGAGACTCCATCTCAAAAAAAAAAAAAAAAAAGAAAGAAAATCAACATGTTCAAAACCAAAGTTATAGAGAAATTTTTGTGTTCTAAAGGGACAAACAGAACTCGAGAACCAGCTAGTACCAATACATATGCACCCTCTAAAAGCATAACTCTTCAAACGTTTCATCAATTGGTATTTTCTATCTCAGTAAATGACAGCACCACCTAACTACTCTATTCTACAAGCCAGAAATCTCAGAATCCTTCTGGTCCCCCCTTGGGGTGGGGGAGGGGCCAAAACCACAATCACAATCCAAAGGTAACTGGCAGAGCTGGATTTTGGTTATCACAAACAGGACTGGATGGAGGCAGGAGTTCAGTGCTTGGAGAAGGTAAAAAGTTGTTTAACAGACTAGAGAGAGTGTGTAAAAGACTAAAGAAAAGGAGGGAGGGAAGGGCTGCTTTAGCTATGGAGGTCACAGGAAACTTCTCTAAGGAGATATCTGAACAGGGTCCCAAATGAAGAAAGGAGCCTGTCATGGGAAGGGAGCGAGGGGAAGCACTGAATACAGAAGAAAGAGTCAATGTGGAAGCTGCAAGGTGGGAATGAGCTTGCTATCTTCAAGACACAGAAAAAATGCCAGTGTGACCAGAGCACAGCAAGAGCAGCAGACGAGGAGATGCCCGACGGAGGAATGCTCACCAAGCCTAGATGCAGAGTCAGACAAAATTTTATCCTAACAGCAATCGATACCACAGGAGGTCACACGTGTGCTCAAAGAACCTCAGGTGTGAAGGTTTACTCAAGAATTTGTTCATTCAACAATTTTTTTAGAGACAGGCTCTTGCTCTGTTGCCCAGGAGTGCAGTGGTGCAATCATAGCTCACTGCAGCCTTGAACCCCTGGCTTCAAGTGATCCTTCTGAGTCAGCCTGCCAAGTAGCTGGGACTACAGGCAGGCACCATAACGCCAGGCTAATTTTTTAATATTTTGTAGAGACATGGCCTCCCTATATTGCCCAGGCTAGTCTCGAACTCCTGGCCTCAAGTGATCCTCCCACCTCAGCTTCCCAAAGCACTGGAATTACAGGCATGAGCCACTATGCCAGGCCATCATTCAACAAATATTAACTTAGCATCTACGTCATGCCAGTCATTCTTGTAGGTGCTAGATTACTGCGGGGTAAGGTTGAAAAGTCAGGAGACCAAACATAGACAGTTTCTGCAATAATCCAGGCAAGAGATGATGGCAGTGGTTTAGTCAAGAGTGGTAACAATGTAAACTGTGAGAAGCACCCTTATTCTGGAAATATTTTATAGTACACTTACCAGGGTATTGTGATTTTTATTGTTTGATTGTATACCTATATACACACTCGGATACACTCCTTAGGAAAATCCAGTATGGCCCGAGGAGTAAGACAGAGATTTATGATTTATGATTCAATCAAGACAGGAATGCATGAAGCAGCAACTCTCACCATGTTTAGAATAAGGACATATTGTAAGCATTCAATAATTGGGGTCTTCTAGGTTGAGCATGGTGGCTCATGCCTGTAATCCTAGCACTTTGGGAGGCCAAGGTGGGAAGATCACTTGAGCCCAGGAATTTGAGACCAGCCTGGATAACATAGTGAAATCCCGTGTCTCCAAAAACATTTTTTTAATTGGTCAGGCATGGTACCATGCACCTGTGGTCCCAGCTACTCAGGAGACTGAAGTGGAAAAATCAAGGGAGGATCACTTGAGCCCAGGAGGTCAAGGCTGCAGTGAAACATGACTGTGCCACTGCACTCCATCTGGGGGAACAGAGGGAGACCCTGTCTGAAAATAATAATTATCCCCAGCCATTACCTTGCTTCCATTTTCCCATGGTAAATACGTAACAGCGCTCTGCCACGCTTATCTACTCAGCAAATGCCCTGCCTTCCCTCTTGTAAAAAAAAAGAATTACTATTATTGGCCGGGTGCAGTGGCTCACGCCTGTAATCCCAGCACTTTGGGAGGCTGAGGCGGGCAGATCACGAGGTCAGGAGATCGAGACCATCCTGGCTAATACAGTGAAACCCCACCTCTACTAAAAATACAAAAATTAGCCAGGCGTGGTGGTGGGTGCCTGTAGTCTCAGCTACTCGGGAGGCTGAGGCAGGAGAATGGCGTGAACCCTGGAGGCGGAGC